CAAGATCTTCGCCAAATTCGTGATGTTGCAGTAAGTAAGCAGACTGTATATAGACGTCTAAAAGAAGTTAATTTAAAAGCTAGGAGTCCTGCAGAAGGTCCCAAATTAATGCCCGAACATCGTGCTGCTAGAAGAAATTTTGTTGAAAATTATGGACAGTGGAATATTCCTGAATGGTCGAATGTCTTGTTTACGGATGAGTCAAGGTTTCGCCCTCGGTTTCGCCTTAACATAGTGGATGGAAGAAAAAGAGTGTGGAGAAGAACTGGTGAACGGTTTAATCAAAATTTAATAACAGAATGCGAAAGTTTTAATGGTGGGTTCGTTATGGTGTGGGCAGGGATTTCAGTGAATGGAAAGACACCCCTTCATGTTTTTCCGGTGAGGCAGTCGATGAATGCCCGAATCTACATTGACATTTTAGAGCAGTATGTCTCACCTTATGCAGAGTTAGTGGGCAATAATTTTATATTGATCCAGGATAATGCACACACACCGCAGCAGTAGTGCGAAACTTCTTAGAAGCTACTGGTATTACCACATTACAATGGCCTGCGAGAAGCCCCGATATGAATCCTATAGAACATTTGTGGGATGAATTAGGGAGAAGGGTACGTTCTCGCGAGAGGTCTCCGGAAAGTCTCGCAGGAATGGCAGATGCATTAGTGGAAGAATGGGATCGTATACCAATGGAAACGATAAGCAACTCAATTTCCAGTATGCCTCGTAGATTAGAAGTTCTTAGAGTTGCTAGAGGAGGCAATACACGTATTAAGCAGTCATCCCAATTTATAATTTTGTGTTTTATTAAAATGTTTTTCAAAATTATTAGTATCAGTTTATTTCATTAGAAAATTGTTCCTCGATTAATTCAGAAAGTTGGTAATGTGCAAGGATTCGGCAAAAAAAGCTATAATTCGGAAAATTTTAGAGATAAATCAATGAATAAAAAAACAAAATGCTCGCAAAAGAAGCTTCTTTCGTATAGGGTGTAAGCACTTTATATGACATTACTCAATTAACACAATTAAGAATAAATCATGGTTCGAGTTATTCCACCACCATCAAGGAGGCTTTGAAAACATTTTCACCTCTTTATTTTTTTTTAAAGACAAATGCATTACCTACCAACAAATAAAAAAAAATAAAAATCGGCCTACTATTTTTTTTAAGAAGATAGGTCAAAGATCAAGTGCGTCACTTTTTTTGGAACTGAGTGTAGTCAGCGAAACACGTGTCGAGGCGTTTAAAAAACCGGTTTGGTTATTGGTAAAACAGTGTAGTGAGATATAGGGTGCTTTATAAATTCTGGTCATTTTTTTGAAACGCATACGAACCACCTGGTATATTTTTTTGATATTTGGTAGACGTGTTTTCCCACTGCTACCCCAGCGAATTGTATATCCGTCAGAAAAAAATTCCAGGCCCAGATTAACAAATATTTAACATATTATTGAGTTCTCCAAAAACACCCTGTATGTTTGAATTTACGGAATCCGCTACATATCTGAAGAGAGCACAAAATTTTGAATGGATTCGTGTAGTTTTTATGTTTCCGCATGCTATTTTACTACTGAATTTCTGAAGCTGCAATGAAGGATTTGTGAATTTCAATAGCTAAAAACGGATAATTTTCAGCTCTTCATATCGAATTATGAAAGTTTTTCAGTTCTACAACTCATTTCATTCCATTCAATAGTCGTTGTCTGCATTTTTATGCCAGTGTATATTCACAGGTCCTTACTTCATTCATGTACCTATTTATTCGTTTGAGACATATTTCCATGGACCCTGTATGTTGATTTCACAATATTGAAATATTTCTATTGTTTTGATGTAACAACTCCACTTACCTATTCGTGGAAACAATTTCTTAGATTGGACAATAAGTAAAATTATCGATAAACATGATTTTTCAATTTTCCGTAAACCTTCCCACACTGATATCACTATTCATAATAATTCAACACACCCTTATCAACATAAAATGTCCCTCTTTCGGAAGTGAGTTTCAATAAAAAGCTCATCAATATAATAAAACAGATTGCAGTCAACAACGGATACAACTTTAATTTGATAGACAGTATTCTTTCTAAAAAACTTCATCATAAAGCTATTCAAGAAGTTTATCCTACCATCAAGAATAATAATCAAAATTATAGAACTTTAACCTATTTCGGATCATCAACTGAGAAATTAGCTTCATTTCTACATAAACAGGACTTAAAAGGGGTATACAAACTTAACTGTGGATCTTGTCCTAAGGTATACAGGGTGGTCCGTTTTTCAATACGGAAAATTTAACAGCGTATAGTACTCGTTGAAATAAATAAACTTCCTATGAACATGTACTTTTAAACGCTTCGTTTTCGAGATGTAGGGTGTTTCTTTAAAAATTCGATTATTTATTGATTTCTCAGAAATGCTATAACCGATTGTGATGAAATTCATATCTATTGTGCAAATATCAATAAGCTAACTTTCAGACCTATTACAGTTCATGAATGAGTTCTATGGTTACATATTTTCAGGGGCGTGCATTTCAAAATACAATTTTTTTGCCCTCTTAGATTTCTTATCTTATATCTTCGTTTCAGAAGGAAAAATAAAAACCAAACCTATGCATCTCTCGAAACCCAATGAAAGAAAAATTGTAATGTATTAAATCTAGTTAGCATTGGCCGTTTACCAAACCAATCAATCATTTACGTATTAGAAGAGCCACAACAGGCCATAGACCGCAGTGAAAATCCTGCTATTTGTCTTCAATGTTGCCGAGCTAGTACATTTTTACTAGTTAGTTTTTGAGATATAAGGTGTCATAAATACGCTTCAGAATAAATATAGTTTTTAAATCAAAAGTAAGAAACGGTTCAAGATAAATTAACGAAATTTTTCACAGATACTAGACTTCTTGAACTTTATTAGATTAAATAAAAATTATTCATTGAAAATATTCAGTGGCGGCTGAATCTGGGGTGGCGAAGGAAAAAATTATGGTTCAACAATCAAACTTTTAAAGATTGAAATTAGGTAAATATCAATAGAAAACAAATGAATTCATTAGAGGAATTGCTCAAATTGCTGTCCGCGAACCTCTATGCATTTTCTGCAACGTCTTATCATAGAATTAACTGCACTAGAAATTTGTATTGGGTTTAACACGTTGACTGCCATCTCGGCATATACGTATTAATAATCAATACGGATAATCTCTATCTGTTTCCATAACGAAACATGAAGCCGATTTTTGAAGACAAATGACTATCCATAAGGAAACCTTTTGAAACGATCAGACACATACTGCTTTGATTGAGAGGCTAGTAAACGTCATTGTCCACCGAAACGCATGTCTTTGATGACTACTATAATAGCGCATGGCGCATGCGTATCATGCCACCAAATCCTTATGGATATTCATTTGTTTCATATTTTTGGCTTCATCCTGGCACCCGTTATGATCCGTATTGTTTATTAATACGTATATGCATCTCGGTCGATTTGACTGAGAAAATAGCTGTCCCTCAAGCCGACGCGGTTCATATGACCGAAAAGATTTTTTGTCTTTCACGCCGGGTCGGTCAATATGACCGAGTCAGTTTGTTTTGTTCCAAATGCCAGACTCTCGGTATCGTATGGTTTCAGCTGTAGAAAATGACCGAGGCGGCCTGTAAGAAACGCTGCGCAGTGCCAGTTTCTGGTGTACAATTTCACAGTATGAAAAACATAGCGAATAACATAACTTCCTGTAGGTACGGAGCCAGCTCGGTCAATATGACCGAGATACATTTTCAAGATTTTCTTCACATAGGTGATGAATATTTCGAAATTTCTTTCATAGAACTTCATGATTTGTCGATATCTTCCTTTGCGCAACATGGCCCAAAAAATTAAACTTTTGCCCCATATGAAATTACCGCCTGGCCCGAACGTAAAATACCATGGTGAACAGAACTAATTGTAATTTGTGTAATTATTACCTTCGCCACCCCAGATTCAGGCGCCACTGAATAGTTTTCATGAATAATTTTTATTTAATCTAATAAAGCTCAAAAAGTTCAGTATCTGTGGAAAATTTCGTGAATTTATCTGTCTCTCTCTATATTTATATATAAGAAGCGTATTTTTGACACTCAATATCTCAGAAACGAACAAAAGATGAATTTTATGAAAAAGAAAACAAATTCAACATACGCCAACCATATATCAGGTTGGGAAAGTAGGATATATAAAAGTTAAGCAAGCCAACGTTAGTTTAGTTCATTGTACCAGTATATCACATGACGAAGCTACTGTGTTAGCGAAACATGTCGTGTGTTTGAGAATTTTGTGGAAATCTTATCGTTTGTAAAGTTTTTGCATTTAAAAAACTGAAAATATTCCATTTTTAACTATTGAAATTCACAAATCCTTCATTGCAGCTTCAGAAAATCAGTAGAAAAATAGCATGCGGAAACATAAAAAGTACAGAAATCCATTCAACATTTTGTGTTCTCTTCAGATATGTAAGCGGATTTTGTAAATTCAAACATACAGGGTGTTTTTTCGAGGACCCAATAATATGTCGAATTTTTGTTAATCCGGGCCTGGAATTTTTTTCTGATGGATATACAAGTCGCTGGGGTAGCAGTGGGAAATCATGTCTACCAAATATCATAAAAATATACCAGGTGGTTCGTATGCTATGAGCCTACAAAGAAATTACCAGAATTGATAAAACACCCTATATCTCGATAATCAAACATGTAGGACCCAACATATATGGTATATTCAGAACCACCTTGGTCACCTCTATCCACCGTTAGAGTATTTCCGTTTCCCAACGGAACACCCTGTATATTATTATTGTACAAACATTTATTTTCTCATCTCAAATCTGTCTGAGAAAGAACAATTTTATGATAGCGGCTGGAGAACATAATATTCAGATAAACCACAAATGAAATAAATATTGAGACATGTTCAACATTCACAAAATTGACATTGTTTGTTTTTTACAGGTTCCTACTGACAGTGCGCGGTTCCAGTCGTCAGATTTCATATTCTCAGCCATGCCATCATCAGCAGTCCACATGATCTTGGTATTGAATCCACTTTCAATAAAGATGTCCATTCTGAAATGGTAAAAGCACGAGCAGTTTTGTGGAGACAGTCCTGTTGTCGGGATTTCTATCGTCCCTGTTTTTACTACACAAATTTTTCTGAGGAAACATGGAAAAACCATCTGGATGTGATTCCCAACAGAAGAAAAATATTATCAAGGCCAAACCTTCTAAATGTGAAATTTGTAATGTTCGGGACCCGAAGGTTGTGCACAGTACTGAAAAGCTCCATGGGTGTGAAATTTGCAAAAGGAAGTTTACGAGGAAAAAGAACTTTAATGTGCGCAAAAAGTTACTCACTGGTGAAAAGCTTCACGAATGTAGAATTTGTAAGAAAGATTTTAAGACGAAAGAGAAGTTGGACGAGCACAAAAAGTTGATGCACACTGGTAAAAAATTTGATAAGCCTCACGAGTGTGAAATTTGCAAGAAGAAGTTTACGAGGAAATGGAAATTGAACGCTCACAAAAACTCACACACTGGTGAAAAGCCTCACGAATGCGAAATTTGCAAAAAGAAGTTTACTTTGAAAGGGAACTTGATCAAGCACACAAAGTTGCATACTGGGGAAAAACCTTTTGAGTGTGAGATTTGCAAAAATAAGTTTTCGACGAAAGGGGGTTTGAACGAGCACAAAAAGTTGCACGCTGGTGAAAAGCCTCACAGGTGTGAAATTTGCCAGAAACAGTTTACCGCGAAAAAGACCTTGACCGAGCACAAAAAATTGCACACCGGTGAAACACCTTTCGAGTGTGAAATCTGCAATAGAAAATTCCTAACTAAGAGATATTTGACCAGGCACAGTGTTTCGCACACCAGAGGAGAGCCTTTCGAATGTCAAATTTGTCACAGGAAGTATAGAGTGAAACGATACTTGATAGAACACCAAAAGTGGCACACTGGTGCAAATCTTTTCAAGTGTGAATTTTGCAGAAAGAAATTTTTGACGATGAGATACTTGACTGAGCACATGCATTCTCACAGCGGTGAAAAACCTTTCGAATGTGGAATCTGTCATAAAAAGTTTACCGCGAAACGGAACTTGGACGAACATGAAAAATTGCACACCGGTGGAAATTCTTTCGAGTGTAAAATCTGCAAAAGGAAATTCATAACCAAGAGATACCTGAACAAGCACTGTATTTTGCACACCGATGATAAACCTTTCGGATGTGAAATTTGTTGCAAACAGTTCACTTCAAAATGGACTTTGGGCAAGCACAAAAATTTGCACACTAGTCACAACGGTGAAAATTCTTCTGAATGCGATATTCCCGCTGGAAAGTCTTCTAATGAAGACGTTTCGGCTGTGCAAAAGGAAACACACCAAGTGAAAATTGAACTAGATAGTGGTGTTGTCAAACAGGAATTCAAGATAGAATTCGAATACAATGATCTACAAGCAGACCATCCAGAACTCTTAGAAATAAAACAAGAATGTAATTGAAGGGTGCGGAAATCTGTCAACGTCAAAACTTTCCAAATTTTGCTGGATAGCTAACAGACGAAAATCCATTCCACTTACAACAAATGTTAGTGTGCCGAAGAAACTACCTCCAGCAGGCGATCATAAATACTCTTCCCAGCGAGCACAAACATCCCTGGGATGTTTTGGGATGTTTTGAAAATGTTGGCATGAAGATGTTATTTTGAGACGTAATATGCACTGACCAAAGAGGTCTTTGAAGGATATTGAAGTATTGTTTTTGTTCTTCTGTGCCATTTCTTTGTTTGCCTACTGAGAGGTATTCCTGGGATGTTTTGGGATGTTTTAGAAATGTAGGCATGAGGATGTTTTTTTGAGGCGTATTATGCACTTCCCAAAGAGGTCTTAGAAGGATATTGAAAGTATTGTTTTTGTTCTTTTGTGCCCTTTCTTTGTTTGCCCCACCACAACGTCTCATATGCTTACGTCACAATACGATGAATTCTGATTTGTTTTCGATTTTGTTCTTCTTGTTCGCAATTGGCATTCGCGTTTGCGTCACGCTTACATCACGCTGCTAACGAACAGAAAGGAATTTGGCAGGGTTGTTTTGTTTTTAACATTTTGTTGTAATCAACTGTTTTAAACATGTTTTAAACATGTGCTCAAGTTTTAAACAGTTTTTATTCAAAACAGTTTAAAACATGTTTAAAACACTTATATTAAACAAGCGTTTTTTTTAAATTTTCTTTATTATTATAATGAATGAAAATAGAAAAAATTCTGAGATACATTATACAAATTTTTTAACATACGTACATAGTACATAATACATATTGATTGTCTATTCATTAATAATAGGAATTAGGAACATAGGAAAAATTGGAAAATTCAAAACATTTTGTATACAAGCGTTCACAAATTTCTCACACTCTTTCAATCTCATAATCATCAATCTCATCAGTCACGTCATCACTGATCGAATTAAGTTCTTTGAAAATTTAAACCAACTTAGCCACTTTGACATTGCCTAGCCGATTACGTAGTTTTGAATGGACTAAACCGTATGATGAGAAGAGTCTTTCTATGTTGGCTGACGATGCAATAGCTGTATGAAGCTGTTGAGCAAGTTCCATTGATGTCGTATTTATATTGTTCATAGAACGCCACCATGCCAATGGTTTTACTTTTGAATTCTCATTTTCAATCAGATGTTTAGAAAACATATTATATTGTTTAAAGGGTGCACACTTTGCCTGGTAATTGATAATGATTGGCAATGCTTCTGGATGATAAGTTTCTACATATTTCATACCAGTTCCTATTTGCTCTTGACTGAGTTTATTTCCTCTGCAGCGATGATCAAGCAAATTTGCCAAAAAATGAGCTGGGGTTAAAGCCATTTCCATACGTTCCTTCACTTTATTCGTATCACTTACCGAAAATTCTCCATTTGCTTGTTCAGTCCCGAATGCTTCTAAAAGTTCTAGCCATATCTCTGTAGTGCAAGTGTTTCTTTGGACTTTGTCCAAAGCAACTGCGATATACTTACTTCAATTTTTTCAAATAGTCATGGGCATTTGTTTTTAAATTGGTGTCGTTTACAAGCTTTATTATATCCTTAGAATCTATTATTTAGTGGACTAATACAAAAGATTATTAAATCAAAATTTGAATTAATCTCTGAATTAATATTATGTTTGAAAAAATTTTATTGAACAATGTTTTTTCCTAAGTTTTATTTGTTTAAATCATAAAATTCAGAAACAAAAAAAAACAATGTTCAAAACAAAAAAAACCGTTTAAAACAAAAAAAACATGTGTTTTGTATAAAATTAAAAAATACATGTTTTTTTTCAACCCTGGTCAATTTGGTGAAGTTTATTGTGTTAGAAGACTTATTTAGTTTGTGATAATGACCATCAGATGCAAGATGTGTTGTTCGGTGCCTCAGTGTAATCAATATATTATAAAAGTACGAATTCATCAATACACAGCTTCTCCGCAGTTGCAAAATTATGCATTGTGGAGAACATTTCAAAAATTGGGAAACCTATTTCCAATTATATGTCTGTGTGTAGTAAGCACTACTCAGAAACCGATTAAGAAGGTTATTTCATATCAAGAAAATATTTTTATGTTCAATCCATTTTTAATGCATTTTTTCATTCAAGGGAAATGGAATCCTAATGCAAAAGTTCATTTTGACAAAAGGCTTCAGAAAAGTACCCCGAAAATGTTTTTTTTACAGCGATTTGATGTGCGCAAGACGTGTTGAAAATGTTCTGTTGTGTCCAGGAAAAGGCTTCAAAAAGAACTAGGGAGAAGGTAGTTTTGTGACATATCGAAGACATCTCGATAATTGCCGCCTGCGGCGAACATTGGCTGTTCTATAATAGTTCTATTCATGTGTGAACAGAACATCGCAGTGGAGGTTCAATGTCTCGAAATCTCGTACTTTTAACATCTCTGAGATGTTTCTGTGCTCGCTGGGTTGTAACTTATTAAACACTAAAGAAGTTCAGGTTCAATTTGGACCCGCAATGAATAGTTTGCTAGGGCTTTCACGCTGGGTTGATAGTGACGTCAATATATCAACACATACAGTGTTGCCAGTTGAAAGGAAATGACTGAATGACCAACCGCTCGAATATGGATATGTCTAGTGTTACGATGGTCGGACGTTATAAAGTTTTTTGGAACCAACTCAAAAGCCGTCCATTCATGTTTCAAAACCAGCACTCGAAGTTGATAAATGAATTTCGATACTTGTATTTAATGAACCGCATGCACCTAAACAATATGCTGAATATGATAATGAAATTCTTATAAAGAATAATAACTTGAAGAATGATTTATGATTTTGACATTAAAAATAACTTATTTTTCTACCAATGCACAATAATGTCTTGATTTAATCGTTTTGAATGTTTTTCAATTATTTTAATTTGGTGAAATAAAATAGAAATTCGATCAATTGATCTTCGTGGTAAAATAAATAGTGGTGAAATTATGAAATAGACAACAAGAGTTGTTCTTACTTCAATATTCTCAATATAATTCATGGAGAAAACCCACAAAAACTCATGAAACCACTATGTCATTACAATAAACTGACACAAATCATATTTGGATCATTCGGACAACACAAAATATCATTATTGATACCATCATTCAACTTACATCTCTCACAGCAGTAATTGGAAGTAATGGACCATCTTCTGCGTCTACGCACTCAATAGTTTAGGCATTTTGAATAAATCGAATTTTACCTATGATCCACAAATAAATCACAAACAATTTCTTAAAAGTACAAATTGTCAGTAATGAATAATTCGCAGAGATCAGCTGATCACAACAAGCAACAAGTCGCTTCTAGAAATGCCAAATAAATCTGGCATCGGTGTACAGTTTTGTCAACTTAAATCGATGACGCGGTTCGCCCATTTCGAAAGTTACTAGTATTTTTCGATGTGCAGTTTTGGCACGACATTGTTACCAAGTATTGCGCAACTATCAACCCAGCGTGAAAGCCCTTCAGTAGCATTATTTATCTTACACTAGAGTCTCGAGATCATACCCGTGTGTTCACCGAACACGCCCGATCGTTACCTAAGCGGTGGGGAGACCGAGACGTAAGCAGGCAGCCATGATACAATGAGTGGGCAGGCAGCTTCTCTCGTGCTGTCTCTGTTTTTGTAGTACGGGGTGGGCCACCAACAGTTTTCTTGATCACATTTCAACTTTTTTTTTTTTTTTTTCGAATAAATAAGAAACATTTGATAGGCATCAAGTGATCTACTGCGACCTATCAGATAATGAAAGCGATGATTTGATTTGCAATAATTCGCTATGTCACGACGAGTCCTACATGTAAATAGCGAACCACTCATCGAAAATAATGAAACTATATGTACATATTATATGCTTATGTTTTGTTGGCGAGGACGTTCCTTTTATGCAAATTATTTTCGATAATGTTCATCTGCTTCACTAGAAATTATTATTAGTAGTTAGTATAGTAGTAGTTTTGTTATTCAAAATGGAACACCTTATATTTTATTACATTTTTCGATTCTTTTAATTGAGCTATGATTTCGTTGATCAAGCTCAAGGTATACCTATACGTAGAATGTGAAAAATCGAGATTTTTTTTTGTATCGAAACTATACAATACCTATATTGATTTGTCAAAATGGCTTACAGCATGTGTCCCTATCCTTACATTTTATTTACTATCTACTGATGCCATTTAATTGAAACAAATACAGGGTGGATCAGATTTCAGAATTATATAAAAGAAGTACTAGTATGCCTACTAAAAAATATATATATATATTTGAAATAAACAAAACAAATATATCACATAAAAAACACACTCTAATATTCAACATAAAATAAAATTCAGTTCCCCTGGATGTATTTAAAAATATAAACAGTGTGCATGTCACTTTCTAATGGAATCAACCCATATATCTAACGTAACTCTTCAATTTTCAGGAGCGATAGATATATATACCAACTATGACCAAAGTGAGGTAATCTTCAGTGAAATACACTGCTCGGGTCATGGACCCACCAACATTTCCGGAAAATAATATTAGGAGGCAAGATAGGTTGAAAATCAATTCGGATTCGAAATCAGGACGTAACCCTGTACCTCGAAAACGAAGCAAGTTTAGGACACATGTTTATATGACCTTTATTCATCATATTATATCACAAGGAATCACCCCTTTAATTATTTCGGTGTTATTTAGATACACCCTGTATAGATCATTCTTCATCTCAATATAGTTATTCAACATTTTTCCCATAGCGAAGTTCAGCAAATACCGATGGCGAGAGCACTATGTTTTTGATGTCTACCTATAATATATGTAAAACAAGAAGGCACAACTACTAGTGTTCCGTTTCGTTGACAAATTTGACTCCAAAATAATTGGCACGCGCCAATATTCATAACGTAGTTACTGCTGCCTGTTTACGTCTTCCCACCGCTTGGGTAACGATCGGGCGTG